GTATCACGTTATAAATGTCCACGATTTATGCAAATATACTTGGTGACAGATACTTGGTGACAATTACAGTACAATTTTGCTATAGGATTAGCTTAGTGTTGTTAAACTCCTATACGTTAAAATTGGTATTTATTAAACTTGGGACAAATTAAAAAACTTGTCTTAAATTGCATAAACTTCATTCTGGTCCAGAAATTTCGTAATCAGAAATTATATAATTTCAAATTATGCAAAAAAATTCGTTTACACAATTTTCGACGAGAAATATAATTTCTGGATTGAGTTTTGAGGAATTAAATAGAAAATTCAGAACAACAGTTTGTGTCGGATGTCGGATTATTGACGGATTTGAACGCCATTTAGACAAATTGTTGCATATTTCCAGCTAGTATTTGTATTTAGGAGGAAAATCTGAGATTTGTAAAAATGGTTACAAGGCTCGATTTTTTTCCTTTTTGTAAAAAAGTCGGTATTTTTTTAATTACAAAAAAAAATGTCATTGCAATTATGACGTCGAGGGGCGAATAACCACAAATGAAGGTAATACCTTGATCTGAATAAGTAAGATTCTTAAAATTATTGAATTTTATTCACTTCACAGTGCACTCGAATTTTTGTAAATTGTGCAAATTTTATAAAATTTCTTTACAAACTTGGGAAATAAATTCCTCGATCGAATTATACATTTTCTTATTAAAAAGCCTCCAAATATTTATCAAAACATTAATATTTTCTAAAATCCTTTAATTTCTAGAAATTATTTATATATTTTTATGGGTTAATTATAAAACAATTGACAAAATATAGACAAGTAATACGTATTTTAAATTTGTGATAATAAATTACCAATTCAATTTCCACCCCTCTTGGTAAAGAATTTTCACCGACAGACAATAGTTTTACGAAATTTTATCTTCTCAGACGAAAGGGTGTTGCCAATTCTAAGAGTTCTGGACGAATTCTCATCTATCTAAATTTTCCAAAAACATTTCTAAAAATTAATAAACAAGGTCCCTAAAAAGGGGAAATCTTAGTGAGGTAGTGCAATCATAACTAATAAATAAAATTAGATTGCAGAAGTTTTGCATCACCGCTCTCGGTTCTATTTTTAACTTGGAGCATTAATCGTTTAAATATAACACTTGCCCCCTCAAAACGTCCGATGATTTTGTCTTAATAGAATATCCAAATTAATATATTGAATTAAAATTATAGATTTGTATCTTTTTTAAACAAATAAGTACGTACATAGTTCAAAATTGTTTAGGCATTATATTTTGTATATCGCAGGTAATTTAAACTACTTTTGATCACTATATAGTAAAAATGTATTCCTTCCTCAATTTATTCAATAAAATTATGAAATTCGTATGCGAAGCAAAATTTATAGTGTATCCAGTTAAAAATGGAACCGAGAGCGGTGATGCAAAACTTCTGCAATCTAATTTTATTTATTAGTTATGATTGCACTACCTCACTAAGATTTCCCCTTTTTAGGGACCTTGTTTATTTATAACTTTTGATTGTCCATGGGATTACTGCATTGCACTACTCCTTTTCATTAGTTTGATCCGGAATAATTTTTTCAAATGCTGGGTTTTTAAAATTGAATAAATCCGTTTATTTCTTAACCAATTTACATCATTTTGGTCGCTAGATTACTAAATACACCTGATCTGGAGGTGCAACACCAACAACAATTTCATGCAGTTTACCAATTGTGTTACAGAAATAACGATTAGTTGTGCTGTTTACAGTTTTGAATGCTTAATTTGTTTTCAATTTATTAGTCTTGCGCCGTTGTCAATGACAATGATTCGTAGCACGCGTAAGAATTTCTGAACTTCAAATTGGAATAACTAAGCCAATTCTTAATGGATTTTGATATATTTATACTTAAAATTTTCAAGTATAAATATATCACGCTCTATATCACGCTCCATATCACGATCTATATCACGCATATATCTGAGACGCAGCTCAGAATGGTGTGTTCTGGTGTACAAATGGCCATTTGTGCACCAGAACACACCATTCTGAGCTGCGTCTTCACAAATTTGAAGCTCTACGAGGGTGCGTTCTGGTGCACAAATCGGGGTGCCACCGCCACCTATGTGCTTTCATCTTCATTTTTTGATGCCAGGAGATGTGGCGATGATGATGATGCGGAGGTGCCTCCCCGAGGTGGGCCAAATGTACACCGAGTTATTTGGTTGGCTCTCCCCGTTCTTCCATAAGCGTCACTCGAATACATAAGATCGATTCTTCTGGTAGAATCTATATTCTGTGACAAATCACATAAAAATGCTCCAATTTTTCAAAACTTATAAAATAATGATTATACAGACTTGTCTAAAACAAAAATTCACTTGTAATGAAAAAAACTGTACATAGTCAGAGAAAAGGATCCATTTTATCTGAAAATCCATTTTTACCTGGTATGAAAATGACGGAAAATGGACATTGTTGGTGATAAAGTTGATCAGATTCATGTCGTGCTTAATTTATGAATGTAGCAGTCGAAGTTATGCAAAAGTCTGTAGGAAAGTGTTGTCTCAAACTGCCTCAAAATCTCCAGTTTTTATTACTCATACTTATGAATGAAAGATTGATAGTCTCCTCAGGATAATATGTTTCCTCTAACAAGCAAAGTTGATCCTCCGACCATGTAGTAAAAAATATTTAAATTTAAATAATTTGCAATTGAAAATGAGTTTGTTAAAGCGTACATAATCCTCAACTTGATTATCGAGTAATACGACAAGATTTATTAAGCATAAAAATATAGATAATAATTAACGTATAATTGTGTAGTAATTAATGTATTAATCATTTTTCGGTAATACATATAATATGTAATAATACGTATGTGTGTATACTTTGTATATCTGTACTTATAGGAGTCCTGAGTCAAAGTGTAAAATGATGATAATTCTTCCCCTCTGAATAAATTTGTATGCTCCATTAAATAAAGTGTCCTTCAACACGAAAACCCCACAATTTGACTCTTACGTGACCTTTTTGACCTTGACGGATGTGACCTACACCTTTGAACTCGTCCTGGACCTGAAGGTCTAGTTTACGTTGAAAGTTACAAGTTACAAGTACGTCTTTTTCATGCTTTAACGGACAGACAGACAGACATAACGATCTTATAAATTGATTTCACACCTTGATATTTTTATGTACATATGCAAAATAGATATTTTACTGGAGGAGGAGGGGCATGACTGGGTAACAGGTTGATTGTTTATGTAGGTAGGCAGCATTATGTAATTCGGTGGGGTAGGTTAGTGGACGTGTCTCATCCTAAAAAAAGATGCGTTAATTTGCATGGGCAGTGAATGTCCAGCTACACAGATTTCTGCTTGAAAATCTAAACCGCCTTGTCTGACATATTACGTATTTCGTCATAGTTTGTGTTTTTGCACAAGTCAAATTGCAAGGTAAGACATTTTCTATCAAAATATTAGACCTTTTGTTAATTTAATATATATTTGAAATAGAAGGAACGGCTCTCCCCAGAGTTTAGCTTGGTTAGTGATTTTAACAGATTATCAAATTCCAAATGATTTAGAAAATTTGAAACAAAATTTATTTTTATTGCAATACTTTTTATTTTAAACCAGGTGAAATACATGCTCTGGTGAAATGGAATATCCTAAATGGGAAAGAAACGTGCAAGAGATTGTAGTAACCAATCCGATTGTAAGTTAAAAAATAAAATGTTACAAACGAATATAAAAGCCAGAGTTGAATCGGGCCATAGATTTTGAAAACCTGATTCGTTTTCCGGGTTAAAAATAAAACCCGTTTTGACCCGATTCGTTTTCCGGGTTAAAAATAAAACCCGTTTTGGCCCGATCCGTTTCTTGAATTTTCAAAAAAATCCCGCTCCGATCCGATCGGATTTGGACACTAAAAGCATGATCCGATTAAAACCGATCGGACCAAAAATAGCCCGAAAAAACCGGCACCTGACTCAACTCTTAATAAAAACTCCATTTCGTCGACCTCTCTCGAATTGACCAAAACACATTAAAACATGACCATTTTTCTAGATTTTGACCTCCATCTTTACCCAGACGTCCACCCCGTTGAAAACTTGTCGACTGGTGTGCAACTTTTGGAACGAAATCGTCCTCTCCCTCTCAAATACTAGACTTGCCTTAAATATAACTGCGTGGGAAACTAATCCATTTTTGAAACAGGGTTTCGGATTAGATGCCCGACTCGCAAAACGAATAAATCTCGAACGGATACCCTTTTTTGGGCTGAAATTGATCCATTTTTGCCACAAATATAGCGATAGGGTGCAAATTTTGGATATATTCTTCCCTTCTGAATCTTGTCTGTCATCGGTGTATCTAATTTTGAAAAATTTCTGTCCAAATTTGAAACAGTTGCGGATTTCTTGTAAATTCAATGAACCAAATCCGGGCCTCCTGTCATCATCAAGTTTCTCGCTGAAACAAAAACTAACCTTGTTCACGCTCAGGTCGAACGCCGTAACGCCGTATCTTGCTTCTTTTGCTCAGAGGATTGTTACCGCCTCTCCAAATTTGAGGGAGGTCACTCTTCCGTGGGGATTATGTCCACAATTTGTCAATTCTCCGAATCTCGAATCTCTAACCATCGCTCTGGATGGGATCAAACCCAGCGATCTTGCCCACGCGAATGACAAGTTTGCCGATCTCTCCCGCATGCTAAATCAAGTAGGTGACCAGCTGGTCAAGTTATGCTTTCAGAACGTGAGCAGCGTCGGAGTAACTGATTTAGACGAAGATTTTGATGATTTCGAAAGCAGAATTAAATTCCAATTGCCGAGTAAAATGCCCAAATTACGAACCTTTCGCAATGAGATGATGGAAATTTGTGAGTGTGACGACCTCTTCCAAGACATTGAAAGACTTGAAACGTTAGAGATTGGGAACGCCTCAGAAAACTCGAAATGTGTCGAGCAAGTTTTGCAAAATATTTGCAAATCGAACAAGATTTTGGCAAGGTTGAAAAACTTGGAGGTCATCGGAATGCATGATCATGTCCTGTTTGCCGAATTGACGACGGTTTTTCCCAATTTGGAGAGGTTGAAAGTGGACACGTTCGCCATGGCGGACGACGAGGAGAATGAGATGCATTTGGACGTCGTGCTGGAAGCGTGTGGGGATTGGAAACAGTTGAAACATTTGGATTTGGCGCTCCCAACGCGGATAGAACGAATTATGGATTTCTTCCAGACTCTTTGGGATAACGAAGAATTGTTTCAGCGTGAGTGGCAGCTTCGTAAATTGGCGATTTGCATCATTTTGCATCAGAAGGGGGCAAAATACTTTGTCAAAATGCGTAATTAAAATGTAAATTTCTTCGAAGGATCTGTATTTTCCTATAACTGCTTATTCTCGATTTCCGTCCTTCGGTGGCTATCAGAACCCCAGAAATTCTAGTCCTGACAGGAACGAAGTTCAAAATACTGCATTTTGACAAAGTAGTTTTAGCCACCTCTGATTAATTTACATATGTATTTAATTATTTTTTTAATCCTCATTTAACCCTAAAAATTGAATTTAACCCGTACAGATATTTTCATTTCTTTCTAAATCGTAGGCCTCAGAAGTTTCACGCTTGAGATCGATTTCAGCGACGAGATTTACGACTTATCCGAGGACGAGATGGATCTGTTTAAGGATGTACTTTTGGCGACGAAACGAATGGACCGGGTCAAAATAAAAAATCTTCACGTAAGTCGGATTATTAACGAGCGGAACCAAGTGACGGGTAGTTATCGCGACCGATTTGTCTGTCCGTCAGTACGATTACTCTTTTTAGTCTGCTATCAGATATTATCAAAGCAAGAAAGAGTTCGTTAACTGACCTTGTAGGTAAGAAGGTCACGACGCCACGGTAATGAGGCCAAAAGCGTCCATTTTTTGTTTGGACAGTTTTAGACTTTATTTAAGACGGGGATTCAAGAAATCATAATCATTTCGGCGTTCGACTACCCCGTGGAGGTGTAAACGAGATCAAAGGTTATAAAACGTTGAAGCGCCAAAAACGTCGAATTTTACAAGCAAATAATGAACCTCGAGTACACATTTCAATGCACTCCGTTATATTTCACTGATTATTATTCAATACTGCATCACCAAATTTTTTGTTACACAGTTTACCAAAAAATCGAAGGAAGAGATACTAACTTTCATGAAGTTAAATAAAATGTCAGTATCCAAGTTTTCCGTGGTAGGATGGCGTGACGACGACAACGCGGATGAAGACCACGATTAGTTATCCCTTCGCACCTTAACATACATTTACTTGTTATGACAATTCCTCTAACGATCAGACCTTTTTTATGGTTAATATTGTATGGTCATAAAATAAAATACATTATTAAAATTCATGTCGTAATTTATGTACACAAGTACCAGTCGCAGTTATACATGTAAAACTCGGTAGGATAGTGTCGTCTCAAGTTGCCTCCAGTTTTGCTGCAATTAATTCGTGCACTAGAAATTACACATTTCTCAACTTGCCTCCAACTCTCCCATTTTTATTACTGCTTATGCATGAAACTAGAAATTGTGGTAAATTTCTCAACTTGCCTCAGACCACGTTAAAAAATATATCATTTTTATTACTAATTGTAAGTACTTATATATGGAAGATGGTTGATGCCCGCTGATAATATGTTTCCTCCAAGCAAAGCATGCAAAGTTAATTCGTATAGTAAAAAATCTTTAATATCAAATAATTTGCAATTGTAAGTGAGCTTAGTTTTCGGATGTATGTGCATATGTACATAATTTGCAATTTGATTATGAAGAAATATGACCATCATAAAAATATGAATGATAATTAATGCACTTAAGTACTAATTATTTTCCGGTAATACGCATAATATGTTTATAAATACATATGTACCTAGAACTTTATTGTTTCAATAAGTTTCCTGATATTTATGAATTTTATGTTAAAAGCGTAGCAATAAATTTAACTTGAGAAGAATTTTACCGATTTGACAAAATCGCGAATCGTTGAGCAGTACTTGACGCCGGTAAGAATTTCTTTTCCAAATTTGTACTATAAAAATAAGGTCCAGGTTAGTGGTCTCAACGGTGCGGTTCGGTTCGGTTCTTGGAAGAACCGGTTTAGAACCGAGAACCAGAATTGAAGAACCGAAACAGAACCGAACTTTTTTTAGTTGGAACCGAACCGGAACCGGACCAAACCGTGACCGAACCGGCGGTTCGGATCAAACCGGTAGTGTTATTAATATGCAATAAACAACAAACAATGCTAATTGACGTGTTTCTGATGAAATTTCACATATAAGCCAATAACTTATCTGTATTTAAACAAGCAAATTCTAATACATGTCAACAGCAAAACCACTTATGTATATATTATTGAAGTTAGAAAACAATTCCAAGTTTGGGGTGCAACCAAGTCAAAATTTCATTTTGGAAACATTGGGGGTGTGACCAAGTAAAAATTTCATTTTGGAAACATTGGGGGTGTAACCAAGTCAAAATTTCATTTTGGAAACATTTGGGGTGTGACCAAGTCAAAATTTCATTTTGGAAACTTTGGGGTGTGACCAAGTAAAGATTCCATTTTAGAAACTTTTGGGGGTAAAAATTTCGTTTAGGAAACTTTGGGGGTGAAAATTTCATTTTGGAAACTTTGGAGGTGTCATCAAGTCAAAATTTGGTTTTGGAAACATTGGGGATGTAACCAGGTCAAAATTTCGTTTTGGAAACATTGGGGGTGTGACAAAATAAAAGTTTCATTTTGGGAACTTTGGGCGTGTCATCAAGTCAAAATTTGGTTTTGGAAACATTGGGGGTGTGACCAAGTCAAAGTTTCATTTCGGGAACTTTGGGGGTGTGGCCATGTCAAAATTTCATTTTGGAAACTATGTGTATTTCGGGAAATTCGTAAAACTTTTTCGAAAATATGATTAACTTCGCTAATGTATTTATGTATGAAGTTCGGTTCAACCCGAACCGGCCGGTTCGGTTCGGTTCTCAAAGACTTGGAACCGGAACCGAACCGGTAATAAAAGTTTCGGTTCGGTTCGGTTCTCCGTATAAACCGGAACCGAACCGAGCCATCGGTTCCGGTTCGGTTCTATGAGAACCGAGAACCGTTGAGACCACTAGTCCAGGTGAGCAAACATCGCACACCAAAAACCTGTTATTAATAGTATTAATTGATTGATCCGTGTTGATAGTTAACTTAGGACTCGATAACTCATCCTCAAAAATCGACAAAATCCACACATTTTTAATCATTTCTTGGGAATTTATTTAAAAATTATTGTAAGCACGGCAAATTTGTAGAGCAGGTCGGTTCCAATTAGCAAATATATATACACTCCAGATTTTTAAAGTTTTTGAAAGGAGATTTCAAGCTTAAGCCTTCAAAAAAATGAGACTAATTGAAACTATGGCTTAAAAAACTCACCCCCATTCTATTAATTAAGAAATTTGTCGGACCAGAATTTAAAATAAATTTCCGAAGCCGATAAATGACCGAATCCTACGTTAACCCAATTAAGTCCCCATCCAAATACTTCCTATTTTAGTAGATGCATACATGCGTATTTTATCTAATTTTAAGGCTGCTTTTACAGTAAAAATTTGTGTTTAATTGTACAATAATAAATGAAATTTTTTGTGCAGAATTCAATTTTTCACGAGATAATTAAATTCAACTAAATTTAAATATATAGGTTTCCATTTCCTGTGGAACATGTCTCATTAATAAAAAATGGAACTGAAAGAAGCACTATTGAATTTTAATTTTGTCTGATTTGATCAATTATGAATTGATTAATATTGATTTTAATTTGACTACCTAAAATTTATTTTTTGATTCCAACCATGAGTTTTTCTTGGGATATCGACTTAATTATAGTCATGATGCCAATCAATGTTTCTTGTAAGTTAAAGTCAAGGACGAGTTCAATCACAGCAAAAATTTCGTGAGAATCTATGAGAACTCATGAATGATACTGATGATAAGCATAATTTTGACCAAACATGACATCATGACATTTTTAACATCTCATGCTTATTGGAAGTTACGTAAATATTTTGATACGATGCAAAGCTTATCACTTACAAGCCGTAGCTTATGAAGTACACTAAGTAGATAATATCCACACTGCACTGAATTGGCTTTTATTTCAGAAAATCAGAAAATATATCAGAAAATCTTATGAGACTTAATTTCCAGACAGGAGAAATTTTCTCCAGCCAGAGCTAAACCTCCGTAAACTTAATTCACACGTGGTAGACACGTGCATTGCCAAATTATGTATGTAAATTAATGATATGTTAAATACTCCATTAATTAAATTAAAAATCTAGAACAGCATGAAATTTATTTATTTATTTGTAAAATCTGAATCGCTGTTAAAATTAACCAAACTTTTTATAACCAGCGGTATGTAAATTATGTACTTATTTAGCACGTGGTAGCCACATGTATTTATTACCAAATTATGCAAATTAGTAGAGTACCAATTAATCCTTACATATAATAAAAATCTAACATTTCTTATTTCCTGTCCAAACCTTAAATTCCACACTTGCACTCCTTCACCTGTTGAATCGCCGTGTTCGTCGAGACCAAACTGGTCACCTGTAACTTGGCCGGTTTCAAATAGCGGAGCGTCCTCGTCTTCTCGTCAAAAGTGTAATTAAATCCGGAGAATTTCATCAAGTCGAGAAAAACGGTGGCGTTGGTGGCCTGAGAGAAAATCGTGGCGTCACTCTGGATCACTGTGACGACCAAGGCGTCATCCTCCTCATCCACACCGATGAAGGTCTCATTATTTTTGGCGGCGTTCCGCAGGACCTTTATTTCCTGACCGAGAACGAGCTCCACAGCGAGGTTGACGTGCCACGGGTTGTTCTTGAAAATGGCGGATGTCGCCGAGATGTTGACGCAGGAATGGTTGCCAACCTGGATGGTCGTGGTGTGCTTAATGGAAGAGGTTTCGTCTTGCATGAAAACTTTTTCAGAGTGGGATTCCCTCTGGGAGAAGGTATCTTGCTGCCAGGATTTGGTTATTTCCGTCTCTGGGGAAGTGGTGGTAAAATGTTAGTTAAGAGACAATTCACGACAGCCTTCGTAATCTCGTAAACTTTTGACGAAACTTGGGAACATCTCGAAGGAAATTTTTGCTTACGAAGTTACAAAAACTTAGGAAGATAAAAGGCATGTTTTTTGGTTGGTAAGCTGATCTTCGTAAGTTTACGTGATTACGGAGTTACAAAGGTTGACGTGAATTTATTCTTTTTGTAACCTCGTACCTCGGTAACTAAATAAGTTTTTCATGAATTGCAAAAATTCTTGGGTAATTTTCTCTTCGAGGGAAAGCGGACAAAAATATATGTAAACGGAAGTTAACGTTGAATACATAGACACATTTCATTCAAAGCATTTCACGCAGCTCTTTGTAACTTTGCGGACACAGTATAAATTCCGTCCTACAAATATTTGCACTGCATGCAGATCTTACAAACGACAGAAATCAAGCTTCAAAACATTGAGGGGATTTTATAAAAAATTATGAAGCAACTCAAATCAGGTCAGATTTGTGTTAAAACCAACAAAAAATATACCTAGATCGTTTTTTGTAATAAAGAAACATTTTCAGAAAACATTCAAATGAATTTCAAATGAAAAGCTGAACCGTTTTTACGCCAATTTTTATATTCCAAAATAAATTAAATAGAAAAATTCTAAAAGATAGAATGTGATCCGTTTTTAATTTTTTTTCGAAATTTTTGAATTACTGCACAATTATACAGATCTGTTAACCGAGGCAATTGACGCAAGTCTTGATAACCTTGTAAAACCCCTAAATCATACAAACTTTGTAAACTTGCTAAGATCAAGGCGTCCTTGTATTTTGCAAAAGTGTGTAAAATAATTTTACACAAAGCACTTATTTTACAAAGTTACAAATGACTGCATGAATAACCTCAGTACCAATTTATACCCCTTAATTTTCCAACATTACAAAGAAATACGTAAACAAATGTCAAATCCACAAAAAAAGCTTCCTCACCCGCTTTAAACAACCCGAGCACCTTGACCCCAACCTTCCCCCCGAAAAACGTCCTCTCCCCGACCTCCTCCCCCACAACGAAGGTATCCTGCACCTCCAACCTGGACGTGATACTGGTCTCCGACTTGACCTCAATTTCCTGTTCGACCCACCCACTCCCACAATTCTTAATCTGCGTCGTCCTCACCTTCACGGCGTCGGGAGGGGACAAAGAGGTCGCGAAATGGTCCCTGAGGTCCCTCGGGATGTCCACAATCCCCACGATTTTTTCCCCAATGTGCAACCCCCGTGAGGATAAGGCGTCTAAAAAAGAGGCGAATTTGAACTTGTGTTTCTCCTCGAGGATTCCGGTAAAAGCGTGACAATCCAGACCACCCGGACCGATCTGTTCGACGTAGATGTACCCGTCCCCGGTGGAATTTCGACCGCGACAAATTTCTGGGCGTAGGGTGAACACGTCGGGCGTGCCGGGGAGAGGGTGCAGTTTAACGAAGCGGTGAACCCGTGTCATGGCCGTGTTCACGGGGGGTCAAAGTTGACGAGTTTGTAGACATTGCTCGTGGCGGACTGGAGGATAGTGGAGGAAATAAATGTGTTAAGGTTGTATCCAAACGTATTCAAGGGCGACACACCCGGTGTAAACGCAGATTTTCGAAAAAGAACGGTATCTGCTATGGTTATCGTTTTGGGTGGAATTTTCTCCCTTTTTCATTTATTCCCCAGGAAAATTAAGGGCTTTTTTTGGGTGGTGAATAATTACCAATTTCTGAAGAGTTTCCAAGCAATATATGCTGGTTGTGATGCAAGTATTTCAGTGTTGTTATGCACGAGATATGCAGAAAAATTGTACACCCACACTGACTGACCCCCACTGGTTTTGATCTCTCTTAAATCGACTCCGATGGAACTAAAACTTGGTAGAGAGGTCCCTTGAGGTATTGTGACCTCAGGCAATCTATACATGCATGTTTATGTAACTATATGTATGCATCTTCATATGTACGTATGTACCTACATATGTATGTATCTATATATGTAAGCATCTGCATATATATGTATCTATATAAGTATGCATCTACATATGTATGTATCTATATATGTAAGCATCTACATATGCATGTATTTGTAAATATGTACATGTTAATATTTATGGCCCTATAAATAATGCTTCCTAAGGATGAGGAAAGGTTGAGTGGCTCCTTAATTTATATAAACAATGAAAACTTAGGGATCCCTCAACCTCAACCTCACCTTGACCTTAAGTGACCCTTAACCTCAACCTCACCTCAACTTCTCCATATAAACAATGAAAACTTAAGGTTGACCTAATCCTCAAAACTTGAGTTTTTCACTCAATTCTCAAGGTACCTCATGTACCTTCCTTAACGGCCACTTACATACAATTTTAGCGTTGTTTTTGTGGTTAAAGCAGTATTATTAGCCGAAAAATCACTTTTATGGTTTGTAAATTTTAATTATCGTCCGGAATGACAAATTCGGGTCGCAAAATGCCTCTGACCAGACTTCGAGATATGCACAATCCTCTCGAGTAGTACAATGCTGTCAAGCTAAAAACACGGTATCATATGTACACGGAAATAGCTATTTTTAACGGACCTCATCAGTCCAGACTTATCTTTCCGATAAGTCCAGAGGTGAGTACATTCCACCCATGATCGCCTCCGAACTCCGGTAGCATTTTACGCGCCGCCGATAAATCTGATTTCTAATTTTAACATTGGGACGCCGCGTCGCACCACGCCGCCATACGCCGATAGAATTTTACGCGCCGCCGCCGCTGATAAAGCTAATTCCCTATTCCTTCAACATTGAGGCGCCGCGCCGAGCCGAAAAATCTCCAAACTTGGCGCCGCCCCCTCCAAGTTGGTCGGCGTTGACCTCTGTAGTAATTTTGTTTCTAACGTAGTAAACGGTGTGAGTTTTGTCCCGATGGACAAATTTTTATTGGTTGTGACACTTTCACAATCACTGTGTGACATGTTAATTGTTCTCGAAATTATTAAAAACTTGTTCAAAAATACTTTACAGTGAGCTAAAACGAAAATAAGTTCGAAACAAATTGGGAACTGTGTTATTGGGCAAAAAAACTGAGCGGAAATAATAGCGGCTGAGTTGAGTGGAGGTCAAGGTTCTCCTCAATTGAAGAAGGGTACTTTGTAACTTAATTAATATTTTCATACATCTATAATCAAGTTTGGAACCACAGAGGTTACGGGTGTGTTACAAAACAGTTTTATTGTGACAAAATCGCAAAACAGCATTTTACAAAAATCGGAAACAGTACACAGAGAAATGCAACAGAATTGACGAGCCAAAAAAACAGGTTTAATACAAATAACTGCAGAATGTGTAATTCAGAATATCCGGCAATAACTTTTAAAGATCTAACAATTCCTCGAAATCCGAGAACTCCTCTTCATCGGAAGAATCTTCCACCAATTCGACGATATCCTCTACTAAGGCACCTTGAGAAGGACCAGGTTGGGATGAGGACGGAACTTGTTGGTTTCTAGTGGCGTCAATGTATTCTTCTAAGTCCAACTGTCTTCTGTGAGTTGGCGGAACAAACCGATTCAGAGACAAGTAACGAAGAACCTGAAGCCACGTTATGCTAAAGCTGATAATAAGCAAGTTTTAAATTATGGTGAATTAATTACCGCAGCTACATGTCCACAACACCCAAGGGTTCTTGCTCCATTCTTGCAGAGACAGTACCAGCCTATGACTGCTTCCGGTCCGCGTCCCCATGGGGTGAATTTAATCCATAAGGTGTGATGAGTACGCTTGTTGAATCTAGATTGCAACTTCGCTCGAATCAAATCCTTCATTTCTTCATGGAACAAAAATTCATAACCGGATCCAGATGGTGCATGTTGAATGTTGTACAGGGCTCCAATCTTTATTTGATAAGGGCCCAGAGTAATAATTTTTAATTCTTCCATTGACAGTTGAGGGAACTCGAGTACACAATCCTCATCCGCATTCTTCCATAGAACACTCTTCCTCTGTAAATTATTCTCTTCTACTAACGTTTGGACAGCATTTTCTGCTTCAAGTCGGGAGCATTGTCACAAGCCTAGAACGATTAGCCTCAGAAGTCGTGAATTGAGATTGGTGTTTCTTTATCAATTCTGGCATATAGGCAGAAAGTCCTTGGCTTTCCGCCTCTTCAATGGCGTCTCGAAAACCACGATCTAAGATTAAGACATCTCCATCTTCTAATATTACCATGATGGACTCATGTTCTTCCAACATTTTCTTCAAAATATTCGCGTCATTGTTTCCACAATCTCCATAGAACAGTCCTGTGGCTTCAACTATGTATCCGTCTGGACAAACAACCATCATCGGCTTTTAAAGATTCCTCTTCTTGTAACTTGAGTAGCTTCTACGTTGGAGTTTGAAGTCTGAGGCTTTCTGTGTGAAAAGGTATGTACCGTCGAGAATAAGGATCAAGGATTCGGGCGGTACTCCTAGTATTTCTGTGTAGAATTTTCTCATGTGCTTCTCATGGAGGTCTTCTCTTGTAATGTGGTTGTACCCGCTGTGAAGTGGAACAAAGGTGGAGAGAAGGGCGTCAAGGACAGCTGAGATGCTTTCGGATACAGTGGACTGATTCTTAATACCAAATAAGAATGCAAGAACTCTCTGAGAAATGTTGAGTCGAAGTTTCATAAGAAATATGGCCAATGCACTACGAATAGTACGATTTGGACTATTCCTTAAGGGACCTTCGCAATGTTTGAGTAGGACTTCAAAACTGGCTATCGATACTCCTAGCAACATCTCGTAATCCGAGTTGGTGAGTGACGAATTTTTGGAGAAATCAATGGGCAATTTTTTCTCTGTTGCAAGTTGTCTTAAGGTAGTCAACCATTTCGCCACTTGCTTTCCTGTAAGCGTCGAATAAGGCTTTTCAACTTCAATTGCATCCATGTCCTCCGGTTTCAATATTTCATCCTCCAGATGGTCTTTGCAGCATCTATTGTTTTCAGGAATTAGGATTCCTCGTCTCAAGAAGACTTCAATAATGGCTCGGCGCTTGATACGGGTCCGAACTGATGTCTTGCAAATAAGGCACCTATTCTCGTTGGACGTAGCTGATGGAATACCCGGCACCTCTACAACTGGATCGTGATGTTGGATTTGGGGCGCATCTTGCTCAAAAGAATCATCTGGGACCTGTGCATCGATGACCATAGCTTGACTTAACTCTTCATCATGTGGCACCTCATGATCGCTACTGGTATTCGTCATGTCTTCATCGTTCTGGTCTTGCAAATCCTCCTCCACATGACGTCTTGATTGAAGATTACGAGATCTGGAAGTCTGTACTTGGTTCAGACGTACCTGCAGGTCTACATTTGATCCTCGTCTCACTCTGCCCCTGATGAAACCATGGCATCCACTACAGATGAGATGATCGAGTCTTGCAGTTTTTCCGACTTTTAGCATGGCATTTGGTAGTACTGTCCACATTTGTTGCCCTGATATTGGACGCATGCTTCTCCGGACACTTGTGTGTGAGTCACAAACTGCACATGTAAACTTCACCATGTTGGTTGATCAATGAGCTGGACACCTGTTCAATTATCAATTAATAAACCAACATGCATTAAATAATGTAGCATTATTTTTTATTTTTAGCATTTGAAATAGTTTGGTAGAAAGTGTATTGCATTTCATCATAGTCATACATATAAACTCATATTAACAGCATTGTAAGAACATTGGCATAATTACCTCAAACTATCACTGCACCTCCTTCACACAGTCCGAAGTCCACCGGCACCACGACTTTCTCCGTTAATGTCTGCGAGACAAACAGAGAAATGTAATTGTTGTACTCAATACAACATCAAAAAGTAGCCAGCTCCTCCCCACCTACTCCTCAGATCATGACAATGCACAGAAAGGGAGAAAGCTGGCAGAAAAAAAACTGTGCATTGCGGTTTACTTTCACGTCAATAAAGAGATTTCTCCCCTGATTGACGCTCACTTCGGCCCAGAGTAGGATTTTTCCCTTTCCCAACCCATCAAAATATCAAAACCACCACTTACCGTGTTTGAAGTTCATAAAATAGGCTCCAAATCCAGGTTAGAATGGTGAAAACTGCTCCAAATCCAGGCTAAGATGATGAAATCCACGACCAGATAAGGTTGCAAGAGTGAACTCGAAGAGATGGGGGTTATTTTTATTTATTTCCACTTTTTGGTCCCCATTGTTTTTACATGTCATCATTTTGATGACATGGTTACCTTATTTTAGCAGTTTTAATTTAAATGATGACGATTTTCATGTTTTTTTTTGTATTTATGCATGTTGCACCCGAACCAGGCATGCCTCTTTCACCAAACTTTGCTAAAACATGCTTACTTATATAATAAGTAAGTGTGCAAAGTTTGAAGAAAATCGTTGGAGGTCTTCCACGACTTTGTCCTATCATGATTTTAGCACATGTATTTCTCCCATTTAAATGCATGTAAAAAACCCCCACCACTAAAATAATTAGTACGGGAGTTTAAGGCATGCCTCTTTCATGAAATTCACGGAGATGACACTTCGATACTTGTATCACAACATATAAAAAAATTAGCAAAATCGTTGGAGGTCTTCATTATTTTTATGACCCACCCAAAAAGATGGGCTAAACCCGATTTAATCCTTTATATATTCTATATTGTAGCACGCATCATGGGGATCGAATTTTGTATTCGTCATTTTTCGAAATTTTGACCTTAACTTAACCCCAGTTATCGACGACCATAGGTTGAAAATCCATTAGCTAATGACCCCTTGTAAGTACTGCACATCAATGGAAAGCTCTTCGATAACTGGAGATAAGGTCGAAATTTCGAAAAATGTCAAATACAACAGATGATAAGAGCTACAATATACACAAATTATTTGGAAAATCTATTATCTATTACACTGCCAGTGTCGCCCTTATGTTGGGATATATCATGAACATAATATTGCTTTGTTACCTTGCTGGAGGGGACAAGTTCCCAATAGGCGGAGGGTGAGAGGAGGTTAAGGTGTGACGAGATGGAGGAAAGAAAGGGCAGATTCGTGGCGAGGTTGGTAACCGTGTAGGGCGTCCTGATTCGGAGGGAGGTGGGCTGACCGTGTCCCGAGAGGACAATGGTGGCTGGGTCGATGGGGTTGGAGAGGGGACAGGTGGGGGGTGGTGGTGGTGAGGGTAGTGGGAGAGGTGCTGGTGGAAGGGTGGCGGAGGTCAGGGTGGTTATACAGGTCAAGAGGATGTAGATCGAAGGAGTCATTGTGCAATTTTGCAAAACTTTTGAAAGTGTGCAATTTTTGTGGGCAGAAATATTTTAGAATTTAGTACGTATGTATGTAGATATTTTTGGACTTGTGGGAATTCAAAGTTTGCAATTTTTGTGGGCAGTAGGTGATGTGTAAATGTGCAAAATTTCGCAAAATTTTTGAAAGTGTGCAATTTTTGTATGCAGAAATATTTTAGAATTTAGTACGTATGTATGTAGATATTTTTGGACTTGTGGGAATTCAAAGTTTGCAATTTTTGTGAGCGAGTAATGATGAATGATTGTGCTTCTTGACTTATCCGGATTCACGGATGGACTGAGATGGGCACTAATTTGTGGAATATTTTGCATGATTTTGCATGATTCGTGGGATTTGATGGAGATGATGAATGAGTGACATAATTTGTCTTTACGTCTTTCGCATGTATGCTAAATAAGCTCTAGCATCGATTCAGAATGCAATTCACTCGTTTATTCCGTGACCCTTTGTATCAACACTAATATGCACATACATACATAGATATTTCTGGTATTGCTTAAAAATAAAGGCAGGTCAGAGTGCGACATTTTCTTAAATCACTGCGTGAAACTAAATCAATGTTGAGTGTAGACAGCATTCACTCAAAATTTACTCCATACTTGGGTATGCAAATGAATTTTCATGAATTCAAAATGTGACACAATCAATAAATATGATTTCTTAAATCTTACACAATTCCGGAACAAGTTTTCATTTCACTTCACTCCAAATTTACAGCATGAGGTCATATTTACAAAAATTCGATTTTATAGTTAAAAAGCAGCGTCAGAGAAAATTTGGAGACGGTACTAAAAAACACTTAATTATTCACGCACCATAATTATAATTAAACAAGTCCAAGGTGAAGAATTATGCCGCTTTCGTATTGTTGATTTTTTAAATAAAATTTGTCTTGGGTACGATGTTGATTCATAATTACACCTGATAGCAAGCAATTAAAATTTTCATGATTTTCTATAAAAAATGAAATATTTATTTCAACCAGTTTCAAAGTCTTGAGTTTTTTTGGCGAAATATATATAAAAAAATCCGCTTTTTAACATTGCTCGGTACATGGAAGATATCTAAATTTTAGAAGAAAAATATCAAAAAAAAGATCAACTCTTTACCATCAAGTTTTCCACAAATTACAGAAGCAATACTCTTATTTTTGAGAAATTTTAGGTTCATGCCGTACACATTTTTGTGTATTTCGTCCTAAATGGAAAACAAAATATTACAAAAAGTATGTGTTCTTCATCCTTAAGAGATTCACTGGACTAGTAAAATAACTCTATACGAATGAATCACACACATTTGGCTTTCCATAATTGCTGCGATACTTTGTGATACAGTATTAACCAAGTTTTCATGCAATACTTAAATTTTTACAGTTACAGTCGGAAATAACTGTTCCACAGCAACATTGTACATTATTTGATGCGTATATATTTATTTATTTACAACTTTAAACTCTCGTCAATACAGTTGAAGAGATCACAAGAAAATGATTGATCACCTAATTAATAATAGAATTAATTAATAACAATTAATAAGTACATAATTAATAATTAATTAATAACAGAACATCCTTAAGATAATTATTATAAATATTAAAGATTAATTCCATTGGAAAAACTCTCGGATACCGGCAGTAACTTTAGAGCAAAATCACATTTTCTGCGATACATAAATATATTTTCATATAACGTACAAATACTTGGAATATTTTAATTTTAATAATTTTCTCATAGCACGAATTTCATTAAGTTTTTCCTTTATTTTAACACTAAACGCAATAATTACATACTTCTTTATAATTTAGCTTTCTTTATAATTTTCAAGCCTCTCCGGCATTATTTTAACGGGACACGTGGAAAACAGTCGAAATATTTCTAAAATTTTTATGAGCTACTTACATTAAGTGATAAAATTACACAAAATAAATTAACACCCTGCTGCAATACCTTTGGTCTCATTTTTATTACCAGTAAACCATACATTTCTCGAGATACGAACAATTCCTGCGGAAGTGTGGGGACAATGTCCCCTCGATTATCCGATGTCGCCATGCACCATCTTCCCATATTATACAAACCCCTATCTTACAATTTTAAGCCTATCCGCGGCTTCTGCATTCGAGCAATTTTCAGACTACCAGCGAGTATATATGATTTGTCAGGAAATGAAAATCAGTCCGATTTTTTAATTATTAAAAATACGAGCCACGTGTGCTTGTCCTTACACTAATTTGAGTCATAGCTAAGTAAGTACAAAATTGGGGAAAAGGCAGTGTAAATGGTTGCAAATGCCATTACTTTGCGGAAGAAAAACTATTGATACAGAAAAACTAATCAATTTTAAGTTTGAAATAAGTAAACCTTAAAGAATTTTCCTAACTGAGAGAATGAGATATTAAATGGAAGAATAAGAATACTGAATTATTTAATGGAATACATTATTCCGTAAAAAGTCTCAGCCGACAACAAGATTCGTTACAGATCTTTTTTTTACTTAATTAATACATGAAAAACTATTGTTAACAAGAGGACAAATAACAAAACAAGTATGGAAATGTCATAATGGAATTAATATTTTCATTATTTCCAGTCGCCACGGGAATAAAATCGCAAATTTGTAAAGCATACAAATTTAAATTTGCAATTTTATTCGTAAATCGTTTGCGATTTTATTCGCAAATCGTTTGCGATTTTATTCGCAAATCGTTTGCGATTTTATTCGCAAATCGTTTGCGATTTTATTCGCAAATCGTTTGCGATTTTATTCGCAAATCGTTTGCGATTTGCGGCTTACAGTAATAAATATTTTCATAAATATATTTCACTTTTGACTATAAATTTGATGGACTAGCTATTGTCAATGTTTCCTGCTCGTTTTATAAGGCACCGTTTCAAAATCAGTACGTATTTCCGTTCCTCATATTATTATTAATTGAGATATTTACGTCATTTGTAAGGATTGATTGAGCCATTTCTCTACTTTATTTGAAGGAACACATTTTTCTGTGAGCAAAAACTGGACCAAATTTTCAGTTAAGGCATTGTTTACTTTCTATTGTTTGTACTCAAGCGAAATACAGAACAAATCAAAGCAAAATACAATATTGCTTACAGTAACAATAAAACAATGCCAACATTGATTTTTCCATATACAATTCTCACTTTTCTAGCAAAATGTATACCTTCATTTTGCCCTGTCCCTGTCCAAAACTAAAATCAACCAGTATAATTATTTCTCTCTCTATTTATAAATTAATTAATAGCTATATAAGTAAGATATTAACGTAGGCCTTGATGACATGACTCGCCAAAATTAGCACATTTCTAATCATTCCACGTCCTCCTGGGAATTTATTATAAAATTCTGAACTACAAATTTGTACAGCAAATTTGCCACAGGAAGAATCTTAATATTCATGAATAAGTCCAGCTTAAGGTCGATTAGGGCAGCATTTTTTTCTCAGTCCATAATATATAATCACAGCCACGATGAAAAGCACCAAACCCGTCACGAGGTAATCCGTAACCCCCCAGAGTCCGAGTGGCTTGATGATGAAATCTGAAGAAAAGAGAACTTTTTGTTACCATGATGTAATACTTTTAATTGAAAAGTAATTAAGCGTGATGGAAAATCTTTGATCGTTTGACCACAGTTGGTGACAACTGGGGTAAATAATTATTTTCAGATTGTTGTTTCTTATGGTAATTTCCAGTGGCTGTGGGGACATCTGGGAACATTAGTATTTCATAATAAGGGAAGGGGGGGATGATGAGGACATTGTCCCTCTGTCCCCACGCTTCCGCGGCCACTGGTAATTTCCAACACATTCGCAAAATTTAAAACTAAATTTTGCAAGCTCAATTCAATGATCTTAGATTCAATTCCATCACGCTGAGTAATTCTCATGCAATTTTGTTCCCTAATTACATATATTCTGCTCACCAGCACGATCAGAAGTAGTCTTTTCAGCCGGCTTGATGATCACGGTGTCCGAGACTCCACCATCTCCTTCCGAGAGAAGGATGAAACTCTGACCAGGGTTCAAAATTATGGGGAAGTTGAACCCCCCAGCGTCCCCTCGGGTCCAGGAGAAATCGCTGACTTCAACGGGTTCAGTTTGATTCTAAATGGATAAAAGTAGTAGAAACACTTAAAGTTTTATTAAATAATTTATCAGGCCGTAGCGAAAGTACTTGGCAGTATTTTCACCTCAGTTTAACACCCACGAAAAGTGAAAAATCTAAAATTAACTTTTCATCGCTGTCAAAATTTCTTATTTAAAAAAAATCTGGAAAATAAAGAAGCAATTTACACAGTTATTTGAGACTCGTAAAATACATTCGTTTTGTACCATAATTTTACAAACTTCTACATAATAAGGAGACACCCTTAATTTGAACAAGCTTATAAAAATTTGCAAGCTAATTTTTGAGATATGAGCAAAATTTTACAGAATTTGCGGATTTTAAGCCTGAACCTACATGATAGGAGTCTTACTTTTTATTTTTATCGCTGGGAAAATACTTTATTTTCACGATTTAAAAAAAAATGCAGAAGGATGCTGGGAGTTAATTTCTTCACAAAACCTGTATTTTATGACTTCTGACAGTGTACATTTATTGAAAAAGCAATAAACGCAAGAAATTTAAGGTGCAAGAAATATGCGACGAATCAGCATTCGTCTTATCGGAAATCCGCCCTCGCCCCGGAGCTCCAAATGCATACCGTATTTCAAATACTTTCGCTACCCCTGACACATTTGTACCTATCCACATAAATAGTTTACTAAACTAACCTTGGTTATCACGTATAACCCTAATTTCGCGTGCAAGTCGCCGGAAAGTCTCCCTTTTACGGTGTGCTGTCCGAGCGGAAAAATGTGTCGAGTTACGTTATCCTTGCTTATCTCCACCATTCCATCCAGATCAATCTTGGGTTTTCCTTTTACTAGTTGGTTAATTTTTAAAAAATCATAATAAAAATTAAATTTGCAAAAATGGTAAGCCACGAACAAAAAACAACGCCTACTTTGCATACCGGTAAAGTTAAATGAAACTGTGACTAGATTTGGAGAAGATAAGGACGCCGCTTTTGCCGTAATGCGAAGCACAGTCCCTTTCGGGTCAGGAATGCCATCAAAGGATAGCGTCACCAACTTGGAAGCCCTGACGAAATCGGTCAATCCGGTCCGAACGTCTGCAATTTACGAAACACGTGTGTGCAAAAAAACTGGCAAAATTTTTGCAAAAAGCAACATACCTTTCAGCACTAATCTCTCATTTTCCTCCAAAGTTATTGAGTCTTTATCCAATAGAAATCCGCGTGGGAGGTAGAACGGGTCGTAGAATGCGACAAATTGGATGGAAAGGTCGATTCGAGTGCAATTCACAATTTCCAAGATGGGGACCACTTCTTGTCCAGGGTGTCCAATAATTTCTGAAAATCATGTTTTTTTAGATATTTTGTATTTCTTCAAAATTTCAAAATTTGACAAACTATTTTGACCAGGAATGTATTTTTTACCTGGCTCCCAAGTATTCTCGGAATGTCGGGGTGTCACCAAAAACAAATATTCGTCACTGGTCATGGCAAATGTTCCATGTCCGGAATAATGTAAATAGTGAATTCCGATCTCCACCAGATTGTCTTTTTCCCGGGGACATCTCTGAATATTTGTAGAGTCCTGAAAAATAAAATTTTGTACATTAAAATTTATACGGGTATCTTTAAAAAAAACTACCTACTCGATGACAATAAAGGTCCCCAAACGCATACTCTCCGATTTCGACCGGTGTAAATCGATCACAAATTTAATTAGTATGAAATTTTCAAAATGTCTAATGCCCAAGTTTGGCTGAGATATTTGCGGAGAAAACGGGCTTAGTTTTCTACAAAATACAAAAATTTTACACTTTGCAAATTTACTTTGCATTTTCTCCTCTTCGGGTGCAAATATCAATATCTCAGCCAAACGTGACCATTGGGAGATCGTGTCTTTTACAAGGTTTTTATTAACTAAATTTGTGATCGATTAGGACTAATTACTAATTTGGTCAAAATTGGAGTTATAAGTTGTTAGTTAACACAGTGGACTGGGCGTATTCACGTCAACCAACGGGAACATAAAGTTACCAAGCTCTGGGAAATTTTGTGCTGGAAAAGTTTTCCAGTGCAAAATTTAATAAATGTATTTTTTTTCCTAATTATGGACAATTTTTATCATCCGTTCACCGATGATAAATTTAGCATAACATCGCAATTTGCGAACTTTCGCAAGACTTTCCCTTAAAATCATTGGAAATATTTTCTCCAACGGTTTTATCAAGTGATCGTATTCCATCAGAAATGATTGAAATTTCAATAGAACCAAAATGAGGTTACAGGACAGCTTTGCGAAATTATATTAGCTTTGCGAATCTGGGAAATTTGTAAATTAAGTTTCCACACATAACGTTGTCGTGAGTACACGATTAGAAAACTGGTATTAAATCTGTACTGATCGGAGTAAATACATACATACGTACATATTTGGCCCAACTGATAATAACGGGCGTGTGGTGATTTTTTAGTGAGTATAAAAAATTTACCCCTCAGAAACAAACTACTACGTTCGCAAAAAATTTTGCCTTCACAATTTATGGCGAACTTGCGCATCATTTTTAAACTTATTAAATTTCTTATTTTGTTAATTTCAGACGAAAATCTTCGGTAACAAATGAAAATTTACGAATTCTTCCCACCACAAAATTCTAGACTGAACCAAATTTTCCTCCCTTTTTCATTTGCGAAGTGCCTTCATTTCGTTGCTTTGCAAAATTCGCAATTTCTAAAAAGTTATGTTGCGATACGATCTCTAATACCACCTATACCTCATTTTATGCGAAACCCTAGATAATTTACTTACCAGCAACTTCCGTTGTGACTTCAGAGCGTAATAGTGAAAGATATTAATCACTCGACGAAATTTCATTGTTGAGGAGGTCGAGTAGGTCGTAAAGGTTGACTCGGTCACGTTCCAGTCATAGCAAGTCGTCTCGAGCGGTGGTCCCCTTTTTGCATGCAAAAAGGGGATACTTGTGTCCTCTTGTCTCCAAAAAATGTCCGCATATCCCTGCGCGCTGATATCCGCTTTAGCATCGGTCGAGTTTACGGCCACAATTGTTGAGTGGATGGCATCACAAGAGGATAAATTGTACCCAGACGTATCGGCATGAACTACGTCTAACGGGCACATGAACAGTAGTTGAGACTTGTTGAAACTAATTGAGGTCGGCGTCATTGGAATAACATATTCGTAGCGTGCGACGCCATTTTCCATTAGCGTACTGAACCCAATTTTGTTGTCGACAAGACTTACTGTCCAGGGCTGAAAAAAAATTGAAAAAAATGTATTTTGCATTTACAAACCAGCAGGAATACTTATTGACCATGTTCACGTCAACTTTTGAATATCTCGCGAATTTAGCATAGCAAATACATATGTAACTTGCCAATTTTGCGAAATTTTTCAAAATTTTTGCTGGATAAGCATAGCAAATTTACAAAGCCCTCACATAGCAAGATATGTAACTTGTCAAGTTTTTGCGAAATTTACGAGATTTTCAAAACTTTTGCTGCATAAGTATAGGATTTTTTTCGCAAATTTACCAGACCCTCACAGCACATATGTACATACTTCACTAACGCAATCCAGCTTAAAATGTTTTACACTCACCTCATTCAGCGGATTTTCAATCCAGATTGCAATTCGGGGTTCAGGATAAGTCAAAACATAGTTTGGCACATCCAGAACAATGTGGTCACTGGGTCGAATCTCTCGAATTGGGACGCGTTGTGGTGCAGAGTCGAAGTTGTAGTTACCTTCATACAGGGTTACGAATCTTGTGATCCCGCTGCTTTCATTGTATCCCCCCCATCCTGGATTTACTAGAAAAAGGATTCTGATTACAATAAAGTTGGATAAGCCACTTATGTACAATAAGTGTGATCGTTTTGTCCGTCCGTCCGTCCGTCCCTGGACTAAAAATTAGAATATTGATGCATCCCGCGGACGGATGGATGGACAGACGAAGTATTCGCTTAAAGTGGCTGAAACTAGTTAATAATTTAACTTACCACCGCTTATCGGATGGGAACCCGTTAAGTGTAACCCGATAAGGAAGACGTACCCGATAAGGAAGAAGTACCCGATAAGGTCGTTTTTTTTCCTCATCGTTGTCTGCAATAAGTGCAAGTTTTTAGTCAACATTAGATGATACTTGTGATTGGCAATTTAAGTAAGATATTTTAATTGAAATCTCCACCGCTGTTTTACTTTAAGCTTGGTGTACTATTTTTGTAATTCTTTACGGAAGGAGTCACCAATTGTGGATAAGTTTCCCGTGGGAAATGAAGCCTTTTGTATTCTGATTTCATGGGTTACATCGTTACATAAGTGTGTCAAATTTTCGGAATATATTCACTTTACAAGGTTACAAAGTTGTGCGTGAATACTGATGCAATTCATGCAGGCCTTGGTAACTATTAATTCCAAAGTTTTACTACCAGTTGGAAGGAAAATTAGCTTTCCAATTTTGTGTAAACTTGCTCAGATCAAGGGCGTCTCTTTAAATATTTTGTAAAAGTTGGTAAAATTATAGTACAAAATTGTCAATGGCTGCATGTAATTGACGTGAATACCCTAAATTAAAAAATTAATTGCAGAAATGTGACGAATAAATTCACGCAGTGCTTGGTAACTTTATAAAATCCGTAACTGGTGTGAAATAATTTTATAAACTTTTACAAAATATAAAGACGCCCTTGATCGGAATAAGTTTGCAAAAAGTTGCAAACTAACAATTTTCCTCCAAAATATTTGCAAAATTTTTCGAATTTTACAAACTTTACAAACGACTGTGTGAATTTCCTGCGTACATATTTTATTTGCTACCTTCAATTCCCAGGGTTTTCGTTAAAAAAAATTTTGACCTCCTCCCAGAAAATTAATCGTTTCAAATTTACACTTCTAAAAGTAAACCACAATCGCCACGACTCACAGAATCAATCACGAACTTATTAGTATGTATGTACGTAGTTTAATTAGTCTATGTAAAACTGAAGACTAAATCATTCCAATTTCTGGAAACTTTAACCGAATTGAAAATTCCGAATTGTAGAAACTTTCCAGAAATAAGACGAAGCAAATCGTCGCGCAGAAAAAATACAAACTAACACACATCACCGGAACAAATTGAGCTAACAAAAGTTTCCCAAAGGTATGAAAATTCCTAATAGATTTCCAAAAGCTAAATGTCAGGAAAAAACGGCGCACCTTATTTTTAGATGAACAATAATTAACACAGGGTCATAAAGCATCGAAAATTTGTCACAAAATCCTCCAAATCTTTGATATTACAGTGTCACCGAAAAATAATTGTGCTTAAAAACGAAACTTCTGTTACATGCATGAGCTGGAAATTTATAGTTTAAGCGAAGAATAATTAACCTAATCAACACTAAATTGTCACAAATACTGGAAATTTTCGATAAAAGAATGTCGCTGAAAATTATAATTGTAATAAAAACCAAGTTTTTTTAACCCAAAGTTGAAAAAACATTTAAGATCTTTCCTACGTTATCTTCCCGTGGGTGACTCACCGCTGAAGATGTTGGCGGACTGATCGTCAAAAATTCGTGACGTCGTCCACCATCTTCATGAAAGACTAATTCCACGCTCATGAGACAAAGATTTTTCTACGGGTCGTTTATACATAACGTTAAATCCAGCCGTATTAATAACACCGTCACCACGATACTTATCCCTGCTACGCCACGTAGCTTGCGTACGAACCGTGGCGCTAAAATGGTGGAACTACCTAAGTACGAACCAGGTTTTAGACTCGTGTAGAGATGTAAACGGGTTATAAATACTTCGCACTTTTAATAGTTTGCGAACTTCTGCAAAATTAAAAAAAGCATGTTTCTCCCTACAAAAATATATGCCAAATTTGAGAAATTGCATATTTGGTGCAAAAAAAAACAATTTAGAGACGTCTTATTGACAAGGTGTCGTTGCCATGACGACCGCACCTAGATACATTTTTTGGGTTATCGTCCGATAACCCAGCAACTATCTTTATGTACTGTCTCTCATGCACATGGCTTATCCCATCCTAAAAATCAGACCTATACCTAACTCAAACACAGCGTATCGCTAGTCAGCACAATTTCTATTGCAATAAATGCGTACGTATGTAGATAAGTAGCTAGATACACAACTTGTCAAAAACTTGGCTCATCCAAGTTTAACAGCTAAATATCATAAAGTTAAATACTAAACACTTATACAGGGTGTTAATAAAGTCCGATCCCATTTTTCCTGTAAAAAAGTGAAGGCTAGTATAAAAAAAAACTACCCGTGATACTTACAAAAAATGTTCGACATATTTACCTTAGTATTTGGTCTTGTTACCATTTACTTTAACCATGCCCTCAACTCTTTGTTTAAGGCTCTGTGCTAATTTTTCCAATGTGCCTCTGGAAATCGAATTCCATACATCTTGAACTTTTTTTTACTAGCTCTTCCCTCGTCCGGGGTTGTGGCTCTTTGTATACATTTTCCTTAAGTATGGACCACTGGTTCTTCAGGGGATTCAAATCTGGGCCGTTAGCGGCCCACACCCCCTTGCTCCAGACCGTTGAAACTTGCGTCTTGATGAGACTCAAACTCGCTTTTGCTGTATGGGCTATAGCACCATCCTGCATGAAAACTATTTTTCTTTCATTCGGAAATATTTCCTTGTTCCCCATGCTATCGAAATAGATAGGTAATATTTTTTCCATATAATGCTTTGCATTGACTGATTGGCCTTTTGGTATGATATGTAGAGGGGTCACGCAACGTGCACAAAATCCACCCGCTACCATAACTTTAAGCCCGAATTTTGGGATCGCTCTTGATGGTACATCCGATTTGTTTTCTGTCCTGTAACGAACATTTTGTTGGTTCAATTTTGGATATAGTTCAATAATAGATTCGTCAGTCCAAAGGATGTGACTGCGCAATTCTTCACCAAGTCTTTTTTCACTCAAATGGGCACTTTTCTGAAGGAGTTCTTGAAATTTCAGACGGTCATCGATATATTTTTGTGACATGAGAGGTTTTTTTGGTTAGTTTGTAAGCTGTGTGACCCCACTTCGTAGTTTTCACAAATTTTTGCACGGTCACACAGTTAATTTGCTTCTTCTTCTCTTTATAGCGTTTTGAGTCATTTAACTCCCTTGCTCAATTACGTAATGAACTACCGGTTTTCTTGCAAAGTCTGTTTTTAATCATTCTTTTTGTGGTAGGTGACACCTTTCTGGGTCGCCCTGGTCGCTTTTTGTCGTGGACAAAATTTTTATTCTTCCATTTCCAAACAGTTCTGCGGCTGCAGCCCAATTTTTGCACAATTTCTGTAGGTTTAAGCCCCTGCTGATGCAATGTTTGTATCTCAACTCTAAGATGCTCATGACTTACACGTTTAGTTGTTCCTCCCATGGTAAAAATTTGAAATAAATAACTTCACTGGTTCAAAAGTTCCAGCTGAATTTGTAACAACCACGCTCCAAAAAATGCATGGGATCGGACTTTATTAACACCCTTTACATATCGCGGTGTCGGTTTGATGCGTGTAACAGAAACCAGAAATAAACATTCCTCGTAATAAAGAGTGAGGCTTATTTAAAGTTCATTTACTTAAATGAAATGGAAACCGTCAAGTTTACGCTGCTGCTCGAACAACTTGATAACCCACAAGGTTAACTTACCAAGCTACGAGATGCACTCTTTCACCAATACTTCACCGGCTTATCAACCCCACCAAGCAGACTTAAATAATCTGAGGAAGAGAGATACATACAAAGGAATCTTACTGTTTTTACAGCCCAGCACAGTAGATGATCCTCTCCTCGAGTAGTGCAAACTTGAACTGACGAGACGACTACTTTTTCAGCACGAAGGCGACAGCAAAGTAAACGTCGGACCAAGTTCTCCAGAGGTTTTATATACTGCCAAAAATTATGATACTAAACTGCACTTGAATGCACATCAACTAATAAAAACGCAGAGTGCGAATGTATGCCATACTGAATCAGACAAAGTTCACTAACTTCACCCCCAGTGTTTATTGCATGCAATCACGTCATCATCCCTCCAATTTTTTTTTTTTTTTTTAGAATTTCTGAATTTTTGATTTTTGTTTTGTTCTGCGCAATTTTTCCAAATGCTCATTTTTGTACCCTGCCCTTCTTCAAGTTATTGGCTGGACAGAGTGTAGTACTCTTAGTAATCCGGTAAAGTCACACAGTTACTGATTTCTCGGTAATAAATTTGGTAGTAATATTTTACCAGGTAGTAAAAATTCGTTACCATGATGGTAAAACTTTATTACCAAGCCATTACCACACGGTACAACTTATCATTGCCACTTTGGTAGAGTCATATACTTGTGCTTTTCGGTAATGTTTATTACCAGATTATTTACGTATGTATACATACGTACTTGGCCCGTAGGGACGCACAAATTTTGAAACTTTTGGTTGGCATAAAAGCCAATTAGGTATACAAATGAGTCATTCAGAGCTGGTCAGGCCATACCCTCACCGTAGTCCGTGGCACAATTGCATCCGGATTTTCATACGTGGAAACAACTCGCAATTTCTTGAGAAAGACATTCATTTTAAAATATTGAGTTGCGTACACTGTTAAAAATCTGGTAGGGTGAGATATGTACTCGGTACTGGTATTGGTTTGGTAATAACTTCCTACCCGGTTGGTAGTAGTTTGTATCTGAGTGGTAAATTTTTCATTACTAAAGCATAATGCCCGTTATTACGGTGCAGATAGAGTCATATGAATACTCGGGTCAGTGCTGATTTAATACCAGTTTTCTAAGAGAGTTATCCATTAAATTAAATGACTTCGAAAAAATGGTTTCTTATCCAACATCCCGGTGAAATTGGCTAAAGTATAAAAACTTAGAAGCCTGAGAAAAAATTTTGGAAAATCTTAAAAAGCTATCCTCTTTTTGAATAAGAATGTGTCTGCCTGCCGTAAAATGGACGATAATACACTTATCAATCACCTCCTCAAAATGCAAAAGGCATGGAAATCATGATACAAAATCAAATAAAATTAAATCTCCATTCTCTTTTTAAAGAGTAAAATTCACTAAATTAAACCCGTGTAATCATCAAATTGAGTTGATTCTTATTTTCGTTTGGTTGTTGCTGTTGCGCAACAAAAAATCGTACCTTGTCTCATACATACTTCCTGTCACATGAAGCTGTTTTATTGGCTTTTTATACGCCATTAGCGATGTTGAAGACATGTCTTGTGCATTCCAGCCTCTTCCAATTCACTCTCCGTCCAATTAAATATTCAATTGAAACGACAAATATATGCAAATCAGGGCAACCCTTGTACTTGACCAGATGCTTAAGCAGTTGGGCAGCCGAATGAGAAATAATAAAATGCATTCGTGCACGCATGCATATTGCATCTTACACTTTAATAAGAATTGTGCACTGGGTTCGAAAGCCTACAAAAATCTGTGCCACTAAAATCATTCGTTTATTAGGTCTGGACTAAAACACAGGTTATGTAATTCCACCACGTGGTATACATGCATTTTCTATTAAATTGTTCTATCTGTGAATTACACACGCATAATAATATCCACACTGTTAGAAATCTGGTATAGTCAGGCAGGTATTGATTTCTCGGTGTTAACTTGCTACCGATTGGTATTAAAATTATACCCGTCCGTAAAAAATTTGCTACCGTTATGGTAAAACTTTAATGCCGAGCTATGTACTATAACGCGGTATTACTTATCAATACCACTTTATGAATACCGATTGGTATTATTTTAGGACAGAATTCCTAAAAGTACCGGGTATAATTTTCTTGTTGAAATACTTCACTAAATAAAATGTTCCATACATACATATTTATTTGCAACAATTTCACGTGATATTAGAAATCCTGGTGAGTAATCATGATTTTAAAAAAATGGAGCTACTTTTTATAAACTTTATAAACTTTATAAACAACCACCGCCACCCATTTTAACGACATTTCGAATCCAATATTTTCTCATACGAGAACATTACTAAACCAACGCGCTGTGTGTCTGCCTTGCAGACACACATAACTGCGTACAAAACTATGTACATAGTTTTCCCATTTTATTCACGTCAGACAGCCTTAATCCCTCCACTTGAGTTTCTTTTATGACTGCAGAGCTGCAGATGGTCGCCTACTATGCATATGCACATACATAGTTTTGCCTGAATTTATTTAGAAGTCACGCCACCAATCCTTTCCCCGTTCGTGGAGGAATTATATTTCTACAATTTACATGTACATAGTTTGTAATGAATAATTAATAAAAACGGGAGATTTCGTATGTACGACACAGGCATTTAATTAGTCAATACATGAGACTGTCTATCTACTAATTCGATAAATAAGAGATTCACTCAAACTTTTGTAATTTTACTTTATAGACGTTTGGCTGACAAGGACCAGAGTAAACCAAGTGCATACATACATAGATTAAAAATTCGCAAAGGTTTTTTTTAAATGATGATAAATACAATTTTGCCAGGATTTGCGAATTATAATTTTACAAACGGAGAATGGAGGTGTCTTTTTTAAAATTTCATAGTTTGGCCAAATATGCGCTGGCAGTTTTGTCACTCTAATCCCCTCAGTTTTCTCAATCTTATCGTCAGCAGGGCGAAGCAATCGCGAGTTAAAGCCACACACTACACTTCTTCACAGTGGATAACGTTTTTGCTTATAAATGGCTCTGTTAAAAGATGCCCCATTAATTTAATCTCCATAAAAATCAAGCCGTTTTATTATCCGAGCAATAACAACGGAAAATATACACGAGTCCAGAAATATAAAAAAAGTCGTGCAGTATATTTGTCATTCAGACTGGAGCTAAGGATGAGGAACAATTATATGAATTCACTTGTATACACTTCTAGAAAGATCCAGTATTAAAATAATACCAAGCGGTAGCAACTTTAACACCGAGAAATCAAAACCTGACTTACTCACTATATATACTAGTTTTTGAACAGTGTACATATCGGATAAGTGAAGGAATGGATTTGGATATTATTCTACATATGACCCAAACTGGTTCGAGACCGAGATGCGAATCAGGATAACTCGAAATGACCAATTTTTTTAGTTAATTTTGTCATCCAGAAAATCAAACTGAACACTTTACAAATATTTGCTTTGCAAACTCTCGATTCTTGCAAATACTTAATTGTAATAAAAATTGGCAAAATTCGATTTTCTATTTTTTTGCAAAAGTTACCAAGGAAGAGAGACCCTTTGAGGGGGTGTGGTTATCATAAATGCTCGATAACCCGGAAAATATACCGTTGAAACAAATGCCCCCAAATCACAGCGTCATCACGACTCTCACTTTCTGACCATGTTGCCAACTTGGCTAAAGATCTCCTCGTCATTAATGTGTCACAATAACCTTAACCGTGCAGCGTGCAATTGAACATATGTGCAAAATACACCATTGAATGCGTAACTTGCAAAAATATTGGCATAACATGACACACCATGTGTACATAACAGAAGCCAGATATTTTACACAACTCGAATGAAAAATTCATTCATTTAAACGCAGTGGCCACGGAAGCGTGTGAACAGGGGGACAATGTCCCCATCATTTGTCCATATTCTATAAACTCCTCCCTCCCCTATCCTACAGTGTGAATGCCCCCAGATGCCCCCCCCCAGTATCCGCGGCCACTGTTTAAACGTAATGGGCTGGATAGTGGTCTGCTCAAGCGTTAAAAACTACTCTTGATCTTCGCTTACATGCAAAACTAAATCCTCCAACTTGCATGAAGCTGCATAAGCGAAAAGTTATTCATGAACTGTACAAAACTGCCCACAGTTTGGTCTCGTCAAGTTGATTACCTACTTCTGGATAAGTGCATATACACATATAGCATATCATCCCACATACATAAGTATGCACGTATACCGTGAAATGTGTGGTATGGATGGAAAGTCTACGGCGTCAACGTCTACTCAAGTTTATTGCACAACTGCCCTCGAAAAGTCCCTCAACGACTGTACCAACATCGAAAATTGATGTAGAGGAGAGCACCTCACAATACAATTATGTACATATTTCGAAATTTAGGAACCAATTTTTTTGAGCAGTACATATATACATAATTACATAATGAAGAAAATAACCCAATAAATATCCGCATCCTCACGTTAAACAGATTTCTATCGACAAGCTAAAAAAGTGAATTTAGCCGAGATAACTCACTTCACCGGCTTATCACCGAGAAATCAGTTATCTCAGATTTTGAACAGTGAACATATCGGATAAGTCATGGTTGGATATTATCCTTTACATGACGCAGACCAAGTAAAGATGAGGATGACGCGATACATCATGATTTTTTTTTGTTATCACCCAATTGATCTTATGAAATGAGAAATTCAAGTTTTTTTTACTTACTGTTTTTTTTTGCCGGCACAACTTTATTCCTCTATTTGTATTGTATTAAAAAAAAATGAAAAAACTGAAACAAAATCCATAGCTTTTCCGGGGCGAGGACGAGGCACTACTGAGCGTCTAGAATCGGTATATAGACTCGGTATTTATCGCCGTAGATATTCTGCCCGGTTTGGAAAAGTTGAGAGAGTGTAAAAGAAAAGCGTGACAATGTATACGTGCGTATGACTCATACCGAACTACGGATCCTCTCTACGTATTTGCCCCGTAGTAGGAAGATCCCTTCAACCACAATCTCGACCTCACACCCCCGAGAAAGCCAAAAATCGTACGACTTCTCAAAATGGCCAATCAAGGTGAAAAGATGGAACGAGTGCAATGTGCATAAAGCTTGTTCATTCATAAAATTATTTATCACGAGTGGCCGCGGAAGCTAGGGGGGGGACCGTTAACATTGGAAGATAGGGGTGTAT